AAAATATATTAACAAAGTTATAAATTTTTTTATCTATAAATAAAATAAAATTATATATATAATATTTACAAAATTTTACAAGCCCAAATTTAAAATAAAATATATAAACATTGAAAACTATAAACTAACTAAAAATATATTAACAAAGTAGATTATAAATAATAGGATAGCTTTTTGAAATTTTGGGAAGTGTAAAAGCTACTTTTTAGAAAGTTGAAAAAGTGGGGCCCGGCGCGTGTTGAACAAAGCTTTCAAACCTATTTGGTTTATATTGCCACGTAAGCCGAAAAGTGGTAAACAATTAACTAAAAAATAAGTTCGGGGGGTAATAGGACCTTAGTAAAGGTTAGGTGTGTCTCAGAGATTTTGGGCATAGGCTGGGGGGGATATTATGCATTTTCCCGAAACTCTATAAAATATTTCTTTACTATTATAACCTTGTGTTATTATGATATTGCTTTATTGGAAAAATTATGCGGTTAAGCAAACTTATGCTACTTAATTACGTGGGCTGACTTCGAGTTTGTATAATTAGTCATGTTTGTATAATTCACCACATTTGTATAATTCGTAACTAACAATTCTTTGTTTGATTTATATTTGTATACAATGGTTTGTATTTGTATATGCCAATGATTTCCTTTGGTTTTTCAGTTTGTCATCATATACATTCAATCTTTTTGTGTATAACTTTTTAAAGATTATATAAACGTGTAGTTTTTGGATTTTGTATAAGATAATTTATATAATGTAATTTTATTTGTATATGACGATGATTTCCTTTGGTTTTTCAATTTTGTCACCATGTACATTCAATTTTTTTGTGTGCAACTTTTTAAAGTTTGTATAAATGTGTAGTTTTTGGATTTTGTATAAGATAATTTATATAATGTAATTTGTATAATATGTTTTGTATAATTGTTTAAAGTTCATATGTTTATATTTGTATCAATTCGTTATTTTGAGTTTTATCATATTTGTATAATTTCAGACTTTACATTACTCAATTATACAAAAACACTCGAATTATACAAACATACCTACGAATTATACAAATTATTGCCCTCTCTCGCTCGCCTCTCTCCTCCCTCTCCTAATCTCGCTCGTCAAAATATACAAATACATATGTATAATATACAATTATTTAACTGATATACATATACAATTCACCTCTCTCCCACTCTCTGTCTTCACTCGCTCACCTCTCTCCTCCCTCTCCCAATCTCACTCGTCACTCTCCTCCCTATAACATGTAGCTACGAATCATAATTAGCAAACTATAGTTATGCAGCGTAATTAGACTATTTTTGAGTGACTATATGCAAAAGTTCCTCTTGTTTATTTTACGTAATTGGGCCAAGGTAGATAATCCCCGGACAAAATCTTCTTTTTCAGTATTTTCTACACACACACACTGATCCTTGATGGCAGGGTGTATTTCTAATTTTTTGTTGGTCAAATATATCTTAATCTTAGCATAGATTTTAAGGCTACTTAAGTTATTCAATACCTAAAACTTATTTTTTTTATAAAAAAAAGTAGTTCAAGTGGTTAATTGACGAACTACATTGAATAAACAAATTCAAAAATATGGAGAAAAATATTAGTGAAATCATCAAATTACACTAAATGAAATTGGAGAATTAATTAGAACATTTATAACCATTCCAATATAAATAAAAAAAGAAAACAAATTACAAACGAAATTTAAGAAAAGAAATAGGGGGATAGTTTAGTTATTTAGGGGTCTTATCCAAGGATTGTTAAACCTTGGATTAGTTATCCCTCCATTTTCTAGGGATAAATAAGACTACGTATGGTGTATAACTAATCCATGTATTAAGTTAAATAAAATAACCAAACAATATATTAGATGAACTAAATTTTAATCCATGTACTATTCTAATTAATACCGTCTACCAAACGGGTCCTTAGGACAGTGCCCATCACAACTCAAATATTAATTTTGTACACTATATTTGTATATTATCATAATAATATTTATCTAATTTTCAATACTATTGTTTTTCTAAATAAAGTTATAGGGAAAACAATTGTTTTCGTCCATATGTTATTGCCTTATTTTGATTTTGATCCTAGCACTATCTTACTTCCCAGATTTAACCTTTAATTAAAATAAATTATTTTAGTCTTTCTACTAACTATGATAACCAATAAAAACAATTTTTTCATTTCTGTTAAGGGCAATTATGATACTTCACAATAAAGAACACTTTTATACCGAAAACAAAATCTAAACATACAGAGAAGTTTACCTCCTCCCTTCTTCCATTAGAATGTCGATCCTCTAATACACGGATAATAATAGCATACTATTTATTGATGGAAGAATTACTTCATATATGTATTTAAGATTTTATATTTGCATCATATAAATCTATTAATTAGGAATTACTAATACAACAACTTTATTACTAGTGATAACAGATTCAAATTAATTAATTTAATTTATTTTTTATTTTCGTATTTAATACTGGAAAGAGAAAATAAAAGGTTTGATTTTTTTATGACAATTATCAAGGTAATTATCTAATTACAATTTAGAAATTTTAATGTTATATGTCTCCTTAAAAGTAATAATATGTAACAGTACTTGAAATTCCAAACTTCTTTCCTTAAATCTTCTCAAAAAAAAATTCACAATCATGATGAAACTCATGTGAATCTTCTCCCCATTATAGCAGTACTAATTGTGTGTTATACCGATTCATTCAATGGAGCATACACTCGTTACAGCAAGCCGATCCTCAAAGCCTTCAGAAGGAGAAACACCTTCACCGGGATACACATCTACGAAAAGGGGAAAGTTAACAAGGAAACTAATTGGGAGAGGCACAAAATCTAATGGGAATACCTATGCCACTTCATTGTCCATGGATGCTGAATG